TTGTAGAAGGAGTACAGGGGGGTCAAATTACCGGGGTCATCGGCGTTGTAGAAGGTCACTTCCCCGCCCGCGTAATCGAGATAGACCCCGATGATCTCAGGGTGGGAGCTACAGTCAAAGGCCATCGGGTTGGTGTCAAACGCCCAGTACGGCTTCCCGGCCTTCTGCTTGTTGTAGCCGATCAACCAGTAGCCCTCGGTGCAGACCTCAGCAGACCCCTTCTGTGAGGATTTCATCTGGATCAATTTGCCCCGTCTCTCTGCTAACTCCGAGACGACGCCCAGGTTCCAGCGCGGCTTCAGGCCCACGTACACCTCCCAGTAGTGCTGCCCCTTGCTGAAGCTCTGTTTGGTCACCACGCAGTTGGCCGTGTCGAATCTCCTTGGGCCACAGCTGACGTTCCCTGTGGAAGTCCCACATTTCACCTCCTTCCCGTCCTTCAAGATCTGCAGCTGGGGATGGGCCGTGTCTGGGTCCAGGGTTAGAGCCTCTTTCTTCACTGGGAAAGGCAGAGGGGGTCGGGGGGAGGGTTTTATTCTGCAGGTTTATGGCTGTTTCCATCACAGCCGTCAACTGATATTGATATTTGGGATGGCCACAGATCTGTGAGCCCAGCCTGTCTCACGCCAAGCAGGAGTGGGCCAGGTCGTGGTTTGGAGGGGAGATCTCCCTGGAAAGCACTGTGTGTGACTCTGCCATGGAGTCAGTGCGGTGGTAGGGGACATGGTGCAGCAGGGAGCCCGGCAGGGGGCTCAGTAAGGGGCGCTCTCCCCTTTCCATCAGTGCTGGCCCCAATACCCCAGTCATGTGCCATTAGAGGGCGCTGTGCTGCTGGCAGTGGGGTGTAGAAACAGCTGCCCCATCCCAGTCGTGGCCGCATCTCAGTGCCAGCTGACGGATCCCTGTTATAGAACCACAGAATCCTAGAGATGTGGGGCGGGAGGGGACCTCAAGAGGGGTCAACTAAACCAGCCCTCTGCCTGGGGACAGGAACAGGTAACCCCAGACTAGTCCTGACAGGGGTTTGTCGAGTCTGTTCTTAAAAACCTCCAGTGACAGGCACTGTTCCCTCTCATTTTCTACGTCCACGTGCGGAATGAATTTGATGTGCACCAGTATGGTGGTGCTGTGTGGTGGGGGTGGGGCAGAAGGGTTTGGAGTGTGGGAGGGGACTGAGGGCTGGAGCAGAGGGTTGTGGTGCTGGGGGGCGGGTGCAGGCTGCCCCAGGGCTGCCCCCGGGAGAGAGGACCCCCCCCAATCCTCTCTCACTGAAGCAGCCCGGGGCCGGGGGTGAGGCACCTCTCCCCGCCTGTGCGGCCCTTGATAGCCTGCTACGCAGCCACGCGGCTTAGAGGGAACTTAGGTGACGGGGATCCCACGACCTCCTTTGGAAGCCAGTTCCAGAGCTTAACCCCTCTTAGAGTGAGACACTTTCCCCTAATATCCAACCTAAATTGCCCTCGGTGCCCATTAAGCCCATTACGTCTTGTCCTGCCTTCTGTGACACGGAGAACAATTGATCCCCGTCCTCTGTAGAACAGCCTGTAACATAGCTGAAGTCTTATCCGGTCCCCGCTCAGTCTTCTTCTCTCCAGACTAAACAGGCCCAGTTATTTTAACCTTGCCTCACAGGTCAGGGGTTTCTAAATCTCTGATCAGTTTTGTTGCTCTCCTCTGGACTCTCTCCAGTTTGCCCCCATCTCTCCTAAAGTGCGGCGCCCAGGACTGGACACAGCTCTCCAGCCGGGGCCTCCCCAGTGCCGGTAGAGTGGGACAGTTACCTCCCGGGTCTAACACGCGTCCCTCCAGTTAACACATAGTTATTCCCAGTCTGGGACGTGCTTTGGGGACCCGTGGGACAAGAGACCCTAAGGATTGTTCTACCCAGCGCGCCGGCCAGCGGGGGAGGGGGGGTCATTTCAGCAGCCCCCTTCTCCCTGCCCAGTGACAGCGAGGACTGCACTGACGGGCTGCAGGAGGGAAACCGAGCCCCTGCCCTCTGTGTCCCACACTCACCCTGCTTGGCCTGGGAGCACCCACAGGCTCACAGGGAAAGCCCGATGATCCCACAGGCCTAACCCCCCAGATTTTCCCCTGCACCACTCGAAGGGTGGGGGGAGCTGTGACCTCCTGTTTGGGGGGCTGAGACCTGGCTTCTGTCCCCTTTAGCTCCCCCATCCTCACATTCCCCAACTCCTCCCTCCCTCCTTTCCATCTCCCCCCACTTTCCCCTCCAGCTCCTCCATTCTTGCCGTTCCCCCCTTGGCTGGCTCTGTGCAGGGTCAGATGCCTGGTCTCTGGCTAGTCGTCCTCACTCACCTGGTGCCACTTTGTCCCCGGGGCCAGTCTTGGTAGCTTTGTTCCTTGGCCACATTTCATTGATCTGGTGGGAGAGCAGAAGGCAGTTGAGAGTCTCTCCAGGCCCCATTGCTTTATACAAAGACCCTGACCAACACTGGGGCCCTCCATGGGGCCGGGCACATCACAGACCCCCCCGAGAGCAAGATCGGGGACCCTGGCACTGCACAGACGCCCCTTGACTGAGAGTGGCCCCGTCACACTGGGTGCTGCACTGACCTCCTGACTGAGACTGCAGCTCGCTGCACTGGGCGCTACACGGACCTGGGCCCCCATCGTGCCAGGCGCTGCCCAGATACTCAATGAGCAGCAGTCACTGTCCCAAAGAGCTCACAGTTGGAGATGTGAATCCAAAAGCAATCGATTCCTCGCAGATTTGACGATGGGTTTTTCCAGTCACTTTCAATTTCTTACAATTTTCACTGTTGCCACTACCGCCGCTTCGTTTTTACATCACAAGCGCATACACACCGTGACAACTTCAACCTCATTAACGTGCTTGCACACATCCGTAAATGGCATAAACCACGTCTAATATATATATGCATGTTACATTACTGCATAATATACTATACAGAGCTGTATAAACCAGTCACTGTCTATATGGAATTTTAGTTTGTGCTGACTTGGCTCGTGCTTTCTATGTAATGTATCCCTAGTTGAGAACCACTGTCTTAGCATACCCATTGTTCGGTCAGAGCAGTTGTCAAGATTAATGCCTCTAAAGTGATGGATTCCACCTCCACATAGGGACATTCCTCGACACAACACATTTATAAGAACTTCCTAACATCAGCCAGAATCCAGAAGTTGTACAGATTCCCCCAGATGGTCACACTGGCACGTTCCAATCCTTCTTTCGCACTCAGAACCAAGTCAGAGGTTTAAGTCACAAAGTAAAGAGCCCGATATGGAGTTGTTTCCAAGTTTGAGCCTGAAGACCAGCAAGTCTATGGCTGTGCCTTGGGAACAGTTTCATACGCAACCGCTTCAGCACGTCCTACTTGTCCCAGTGAGCAAACGAAGCAAAGGAAGGCCCATAACAAAACCCTGGCATGGCCTGTAGCTCTCTGCCCAACAGCAGGTGCTGGGGCTGTCCCTGTTATATCGGAATAAAACCTCGTGTGCTAAGAACGAGGCACTTGTCCATGCAACCTCCTTCAGTCCCCTGGTGCCTACGCATTCTGATCGTCTTTTATTGCCTGGTCACATACTGGTTTTTCCCCTAGAAACCCACTGGAAATCAGATTTGTTAGGAGAACATTAAGACTACAGAGTGAGGCTCCAGGAAGTCAGGAAATGCCAGGATTAAGGTTACCTGTGCAACTGTTAACTCTGCCTCTTTGAGATCTGCATTGCGATACAGACTTTAACGACCATATCAACTCCACCGTTACGGAAGGTTACACAGAACTTTCTGTTCCACAGCCAGTTTTTCAGTGCTCTAGCACTGACATGCGTCCTCACTGGCCAAGCCAGCCTGGCTTCAAAGCAGGAGGGGAGATTTGAAAAAAATTGACCCTTGAAAACCTATTAGGAGACTTCCATATGGGTGTGAGTCCAGCTCTTGTGAGGGAAAGGTCTTAGCTCCGGGTGCTGCCGATCACCATTTGCTACTTTCCCTCAGAACTGGACTGATGGAGCAGTGGCTTCATTTGACCTTTGTTAGGCTCCCAAATTCACTTCCCTGACATAAGAATGAGGAGCTGGGTAAAGGAGAGGAGGGAGGGGAGGAGGGACGGAGGGGAAGAAGCAGGGCGCTTCTCCATCACAGGCAACTTTTACATCTAGATGGGATGTTTTTCCCAAAGATCTGTTCAAACAGGGATTAGTTCAGGGCAGCTCTCTGGCCGGTGTTACACAGCAGGTCAGACAAGAATGATCACAGGGGTCTCTTCTGGTCTTGGAATCTACGTGTCTATGGACTAGCGGGGGAAATGTCAGTGTTAACATTTCTCTGTTGCCTCCTGAGTCTGCCAACCCTTTTAGCAAGTCTGGTGACAGGTAAATCGAAGGGGAAATTCCAGTAACAACATCTCTAATACTGCTTAGCCCTTATACAGCATTGTACTGCATGCAAACGTTACCACATATACAATACACGGGAGTCAGGTGGGGCCTTGGGGCGAAGTGGGGGATGGGGCCGTGGTTTGGGCTCCCCAACTTCTACGGAGCGTCTGGTGTTCCTGATACAATATATCTGGTACAGCACGTGGATGCAGTGACAAAGTGATAGGAATTGGTCACTTTGAACCTTTGGACGTGCCTTTCTATTCTCCAGCCTGAGGGACACGTGACCCCAGACTCTGCATTTCTCTTTAACTGCTAATTCAATTTATTCTTCCTTATTCTCTTGAGTTAATATCACCCCTCACGCTGACCACTGATCAAATTACGACTTTTAAAAAAACGTGGGTGAGTTGGGGGAATGCTTGTGCTGCGATCGTTAGAGCAAAAAGAGGAAAATTCTACTTACCGGGGCGGCCATAGTTGATTTCAAGTTCCAAGGCTCGTCTCAAGTTGATCCAACTGATTTGACTGACAAGAACTAAGCTGATCTGGGGATGTTGTTGCCGCTGTTTTATACCTAGCAAACACACCTCCATGTTAATCACTGATTGATTTAATCATTAAAATGTTTGTTACAATTACCTTCTGGACATGTGCAGTTAGCAAGGTGATACCCTACCTGGAAATGAAAAACGTATCCGACATCAACCTTGGAGTTATTGAGCCAAAGGGTGTTACCCCGTAAGCAACAAGCTCACTCCAGTAATTGTCCAAAATTAAAGGCTCAAAATCATGATGGCAAATAAAAAGGATCCCAAATTAATTCTTTTTAAAATCTCCTGCTGTTAAGCCGATCTCATGACATTTTCGCTAGGTACAAGCTGAGATCACAGCAGGAAATTTTGTTCACTCAACGAGGTGTCATGCCAAGGAGTGAAATAAACACACCCACAATAGTGGCTCAGAGCACGGGGCTTTCAAAGTGCAGTGACTTGCACGAGTGAAAGTTCCATAGATTCCAAGTCCAGAAGGGACCCTCCCCCCCATCCCCATGATCATCTAGTCCGAGCTCCTGGGTCACACAGGCCAGAGAACGGCTGTCCATTCATTCCTGGTTGAACTGGAGCAGAGCTTTTAGAAAAACATCCTGTCTTGATTTAAAAACTGCCAGCGAAGGAGAACCCACCACAGCCCTTGATAAGTTGTTCCAATGGTTAGTTCCCCTCAATGCTATAACTTTGCGCCTCATTTCCAGTCTGAATTTGTCTAGCTCCAACTTCCAGCCACCAGAGCTTGTCAGACCTTTCTCTGTCAGACTGAAGAGTCATCTGTTATCAAATTCCTGTTCCCCATGCCAGGAATTGCAGACTGGGATCCAGTCACCTGTAGCCTTCTCTTTGTTAAACTAAACCAATCGAGCTCCTGGGTCTCTCACTTTAAGGCAGGTTTTTTAATCCTTGAATCATTCTCGGGGCTCTTCTCTGACCCCGCTCCAGTTTATCACCAGCCCCCTTGAATGGTGGGCACCAGAACTGGACTCAAGATTCCAGCAGCACTCGCACCAGGGCCAAATGCAAAGGTAAAATCACCTCTCTGCTCCTACTTGCGATTCTCCTGGTCATACGTTTGTACCAATGTGTAAATCCCCACTCTGCAGAACCCTGGCACAGAAAGATGATCCCTTTTCCCTTCTCCCTGCCCTCGTCTGGCACCCCCGACCCGTCTCTTTCACCTTCTCCTTACGGGAAGTCCAGGCATGAGGTGAATCATTAACTCTGGCAGTTCATTTCCCCCTCAGGTCGGATCAGGACACCCTATTGCCTGCAGTGGGGTCATTTCCCAGCCACGCCATAGGAGATTTGGGCCCAGTGACTTCAGCTGGTCCCTCCTGATTGACTGAGGTCTGAGGCAGACAGTCATTGCTGAGCTGCGGTTCTACCCCCCCCCACGGGCTCCTCTTCACAGCCAGTCTTGTGTGGGGTGGACACCCCATGCTACCTTCCCACTCCTCCTTTTGGTCCCTTTCCCCTGCCCCGCATCTAGACCCTGCTCTGTGGTGTGATGCCCCATCCTTCCCTCCCCTGGATGCTGCTATCCTCACCCCCAGGGACACCCCCCCATCTCTCTCCTTTGGGGATTCCCCTTGGGACCCTCAATAGCCTCCTCAGAGACCCCAAATATCCCTTTCAGAGACCCCAATATCTCCCCAACATCCCCCCTCAGAGACCCCCAACACGCCCAAAGTCCCCCAATAGCCCCCAACATCCTTCCTCAGAGAAACGCAATATCTACCCAACACCCTCCTCAGAGACCCCAAATATCCCCTTTCAGAGACCCAATATCTCCCCAACATCCCCCCTCTGAGACCCCAAATATCCCTTTCAGAGACCCCCAATATCTCCCCAAGATCCCCCCTCAGAGACCCCAAATATCCCTTTCAGAGACCCCCAATATCTCCCCAAGATCCCCCCTCAGAGACCCCAAATATCCTTTCAGAGACCCCCAATATCTCCCCAACACCCTCCTCAGAGACCCCCAATATCCCCCCTCAAAGATCCCAAATATCTCCCCAACATCCCCCTCAGGGGCCCCAAATATCCTTTTCAGAACCCCTCCAATATCTACCTAATATCGCCGCTCAGAGATCCCCAACATCCTCCCTCAGAGATCCCCTGACACCCCCAGACCTCCAGTATCCCCAACATCCCCCCAGAGACCCCAAATATCTACCAAACATCCCCTCAAAGTCCCCAATATCTCCCAACACCCCCTCAGGGACCCCAAATATCCCATTCGGAGACCCCCCCAATATCTGCCTAATATCCCCCCTCAGAGACCCCCAACATTCCCCCAGAGACCCCCAACACCCCCCAAAGTCCCCCAATATCACCCAACATCCTCCGTCAGAGAAACCCAATATCCCACTTAGAGACCCCCTCAGAGACCCCAATATTTCCCCGACATCCCCTTTGAGACCCCCCCAACATCCGCTCTCAGAGACCCCCAATAGCCCACTCAGAGACACCCCCCCAATATTTCCCCGACATCCCCCCTCGGTGACCCCCCCAACATTCCCCCTCAGAGACCCCTTGACATCCCCCAATATCCCCCCTCAGAGACCCCCGCCCTAACATCCCCACTCGGAGACCCCCCAATATCCTCCCCAGAAATCTCCAATATCAACCCAGAAACCCCTCCCCCAGCCCAGGGCCCATGGGGGCCGTTACTGTGCCCGCCTCGAGCTGCTTCCCGAATCCCACCTTTCACAGCGCCATGTGGTGGGGGGCAGGGCCGGAGGGGGACATTGGGGAGATATTGGGGTTCTCTTGGAGGGATTCAGGGGGTCTCTGAGGGGTTTTCAGGGATACCTTTGCCCAGGGGAGGGGACGGACGGGGCATCACATCCCCTGACACCCCCCCAGACCTCCAGTATCCCCAACACCTGTGGGGTGTAGATGGGGGAGGGGAAGAGACTTGAGGGGGGAGGGGCTGTGTCTGTGATTTGGAAGAAAGGGGGGAGTTTGTCTCCACCACACTCCCTCCTGTTACCCACCGGAGCTGTGTTAATTAATGCTGACTGACATTGGCATTATTTACGAGTCGTTATTAGTTAGATTTGTTAGTATTACAATAACACCTACCAGCCCCAACCTTAACTGGGTCCCCCTTGTGCCAGGTGCTGCACAGACCCCCCCCCCAACTGAGATTGGGGTCCTCATCAGGTCAGGTGCTGCACAGACCCCACCCTGACTGAGATCGCCCCCCTCCTTGTGCCAGGTGCTGCAGAGACCCTGGCCAAGATGGGGGCCCTCATTCTCCTCCATCCGCACACCCTGTCGGATCATAGTTATGCCCCTGCCAGGCACACGGTAGCAGCTGGGACTGAACGACTTTCTCCTCCCTCTGTAGCCCAGCTCTGAGAGTCCAGCTCCTTGGATGGTTCTGGGCCAT